CCACCGCGCCCATTCCCCACTCCAGTTTGTCGACCGGCTCGAACGGCGGTTTGGGTGTGGGAATGGGAAGGAAGAGTGAGGTCGACGACTCAGTGCACTTTCTCCTCACTATAATCAATCTGACGCGTTTGAAGCTATCACGGTGCCCTAAAAGCTGCGGCTTGGTAGGTTGCCAACTGACGGGGTACCTTGGACCTCATCCTTAACGGGAGGCGGTCTGAGAGTCAGGCTGCAATGGCTCCTTTTTTATGTGACCTATATGGCACTCTCACCACAGTGTGGGATCCGAGCCAGGCGACGGCGGCACGCCTAGGTTCGGCTTCGACCGTACCAGCCTCCATATCTCTGTTGTTGGTCAAAATCCTGGTCATTTGTGTATGGACCAGGGGGTGCGGAGTGGAGCGCCAAGGCGAGGATTCGTCCGAGCCATCCACCTGCGGCCTCCCACGTCTCCGGTCTTCTTGATTCTGTCTTGACACTGGACTCAGGCGGGGGAGGGGGAGAGAGTGTAGGTAGATGCTACGCAAGTCTACTGGCACTATAAACCCCTACGTAAGTCGCCGTCCCCGCTCCCACAATGCAGTCTGTGGGGCACACGGCGGACATAATCGAAATCGATGGTCGATCTGTCGTGAGGGGGGGGGGTGCAGGTCGTGCACGTGGCGCACGCAGACATAGGCAGTCGACCATGTCAGCTTCCGCGCCCATTCCCCACTCCAGTCTGTTGACCGGCTCGGACAGCGGCTGGGGTGATGGAATGGGAAGGGAGAGTGAGGTCGACGACTCAGCGCACTTTCCTCACTATAAACAATCTGACGCGCATGAAGCTATCACGGTGCGCTAAAAGCCAAGGCTTGGCAGGTTGCCAACCGAGGGGATAACTTGGACCTCCTCCTCAACTGGAGGAGGTCTGAGAGTCAGGCTGCAATTGTCCCTTCTTAATTGGGCGTTTATGGCACTCCCACTGAGTGGGATCCGAGCCGGGTGTGACGACACGCCTGGGCGCGGCTTCGTCCACGCCAATGACCTGCGCCATCCTCCACCTCTGGTCTTATCGATTATGTCTTAAAAATGGATCAGGTGAGGGAAGATGAGAAAGTGCGGTAGATGCTTCGCAAGTCTGCATTCACCATAAACTATATCACGCGCAAGTCACCGTCCATGTTCTCACCTTCTTGTGGGGCACACGGTGAACATCATCGGAAACGACCGTCGAACTGTCGTGTGTCGACGGGGCACAAACTGCCCTCGCCGACACAATCTTGATTATATGTGTGGTTTGTTTCTCAACAAGTAAGTGTCCGTTTTAAATTCAACAGTTTTCGACTGCACTACCGCACCAGGTAGACTGTCCCATGCCATAATGAATGAAAGAAAGTCAGCGTCAGTCCGCCCATTCTTCATGACAGTCATCATCCTATTATTTATCTTGACCTGCCATAATAACGTTGGATTCGTATAGTTCGTTACCTTAGTCGCGATTGGGCGTCGAAATTTAGGAATGATCGCTAATAACTCGCAGACCGATACCAACGTAATCACCCAATATCCATGCTAACAGATAAAGTCGCAAAGGGAATAAAAACACATGAAACGCACTTTGCCGAAAACCTGCATCCTGAGTTTAGATTCAAAAACAGTTCCCCGAGGTTTTGTGATATTCTTTACGCTTTGGAATTTATTGAGATGCGGTTCAATAATGCAAACAGAATTTTGTTTGATTTTCCGATAAGAACGTCGCAGGGTAGAAAGTTTGCACAAAGGGACATGTTGTCAGTCCTTAATAGATTTAAATATACTTGACAGGTGTGATCGTAAACATACTAATTCGCGTTCACAACGAAACTTTTTTCCCATGGAATTAATTTGCACCGTTTCTGTATACCGGATTACGTCGAGTTTCAGACAGTTCCAATTCCCGAAAAATTTTGAACCCGCTCTACCCTCATACTTACATTCAGGGTTTCGAAACCACAAGCCGTATAGTTTTCGCCTACGTTAAATCACACATTACTCTACGGTAGTAAAGGGGGCCATATAGGGGTCATGAAATTAAGCGGTGTTCTTGACTCATACCGTTAAATTTGCAAGCCACATTGGTAAATGTAGAGATATGACAATTTATGAACGGTCATTTCACGATAATTAAAAGTCCCACAAAAAGAAAGTATTTTAA